TCCGTCCTGGGCTGTTCGGAGCTCCCTTGGGGTGATCAGAACGCCCCAGAGATGCTTGGACCCCTCCACGATGCTCGGACCCCTCCCATCCCCCTGCGATACTCAGGACCCCCTTCCCCCCACGCTCGGAGCCCCCCGGGGTGCTCAGACTCNGGGTCCCAGCCCCGAGGGGTCCCAGCCCGGCCCCTCTCGGAACGCGGCTGCTGCCCAACCCAAACCATCCCGGGATTCCTGGATCCCTGGCAGTGCCCAAGGCCAGGCTGGACGGGGCTTGGAGCAGCCTGGGATGGTGGAAGGTGTCCCTGCCATGGCAGGGGTGGGATGGGATGAGTTTAAGGTCCCTCCCAAACCAAACCATTCCATTATTCTGTGACAGCAGTGGGGACAAGACCCCGTTCTGCTGCTTGGGGCTGGGGGTGGCCCCTCAGGTGTGTCCCCACGCTCTGGCACAGGGTGACACCGGCACCTCCCGGGCTGGGGGTGAGTGGGGTCCCAGCCCCGAGGGGTCCCAGCCCGGCCCCTCTCGGAACGCGGCTGCTGCCCAACCCAAACCATCCCGGGATTCCTGGATCCCTTCAGCTCCTGTGGCCCCGCTCACGCTGCAGCCCAGCCCAGCCTCCCCCAGCAGCGCTCCCAGCCCCTCCAGGAGCCTCCCTCCGCCGGGATGAGCCCGAGGAAAAGGAAAAGAGATGAAAGCGGTGCCGCTCCTTCTGGAGAGAGCCCCGATCCAACCCCTGGGCTGAAGGAGCGGGGCCGTGGCCGGACCCTCGCTCTGTGCAAAGCCCCCCAGCACCGGGCACATCCCGGCTCCTGCTGCCTCTGCCCGGAGCCGCGATGGAGCCTCGGCATCCCCCAGCCCTGGCCAGGCTCCCCCCGAGCCCGTATCAATCTCCCAAATGGGGCAGGAATTAAAGACCGAGCCAAGGAGCTGATTCAGCACGGAGGAAGAGGTGAAGGTAAAAAGTTCAAATAAAAAAATAATGGGCCATTAGATGACCTCACTGGCAATGTGTTTTATTTAACGCTCGGCGATGGCAGCGGCTGCTCCGGAGGCTGGAAAAGTCACGCCTGGCCCCTGTTCTCAGCCACCTCCCCGGCCTTTGTGGCACTGGGAGCTCCGGTGGCCTCCAGTCCCTCCCCATCCCCGAGGGTCCCTCTTCTCCCACCGTGTGGGACCCTGCAGGTCACCTGGCGGCCCGAGGTGACAGCAGGGAACCCCTGTGGTGACAAAAACATTTTGCTTTGTTGCTCTTTCGGTGCCTTTGAGTCTCCTTCAGGTCGAGGGTGGAGGCAGGTGGGATTTTCAGGAGTGTAAGAGCCCAGCCCCAGGCATGTGGAGGGACAGGAGGACACAGAGGCAGCTTGGACAGGGCTTGGAGCACCCTGGGACAGTGGAAGTGGAACTGGATGGGCTTTAAGGTCCTTCCCAACCCAAACAAATCTAAGATTCAATGACATCAAAGCCTGTTCAGGATCTGTCTCAGGTCTGTCCCTCCTGTTTTCCCCTGGAAGATCTTGTCTCCCAGGGCACTGCCAGAGCTGGGGCATCACCAAACCCCCCAGGAGGGGTTTTCTTGCTCTCTCAAACCTTTGCCCCTTTTGGGTGGCTTTGCCTCTGGCTCTGAGCGTGGCTCCAGGCCTTGGCACTGCCCATCCCCACCTTGGTCAGACCCTGCAGCTGAATCGGGGGAAGCAAAGGAGTGGAGAGAATCCCAGAACTCCATTCCAAAACCCCCTGGGCTGGAACCTGGGGGATGAAAGGAAGCAGATCCTGGGGAAAAGGCTCCATTTTCCCCCCGAGCAAGGGGGGAGCTCGGAGGGGCTGGTGGGTCACGAATGCTCCCACTTTGCTGCCCCTCACTGGGGTGCAGCCCCTGATTCCTCTCTGTGTCCATATCCATGGAAACCACCTCCAGCCTGTCCCAGTCTGAGCTCTAGCAGTGAACTGGTGCTGCTGGTCTGGTCCTGGGAGCTGTCAGGGCTCCAGTGTCCCCCAGGGTCCCTGGCAGCGCTGGCAGAGTGTCCCAGCCCTGCAGGAGGGCCCTGCCTGGCTTTCCCTGCCCCCTGACCCCACCCTTTCCTTCCCAAGGATGGAGGGATGTTCCAAACCTGAATCAAAGCAGCCTCGGCCCCAAAGCTGCCGCCCCACAGAGGGAGGGAGGTTTTGGGCAGCCCGTGGGGTGCTCAGGGTCACTGAGCTGACACCTGAGCACGTCCCCGACTGACACCGGGCAGCTCCGCACACCCAGCCCGCGTCTGCAGGAGCTCCAGGATTGCAGCAGGATCCGCCTGGTCCTGCAGCATCTCCCCCCAGCAAGGGAGGGACACCCTCGGGTGTCTGTGTCACTCCTGCCCCTGAGCCGCCTGGCACAGGTCTCAGGTGACCGCGGGCATCCATCCTCTCGTTAAAGAGTTTTTTATCACCTTTCGTGCAGCCCCTCCAGGACGGGGAGCGCTGGGGCCGGGACAGGGCTGTGTCCGTCCCGTGTGTGTCCGGAGAGCTCCTCATGTGGTGACATCGGAGAGGCTCCTCTGCCACAGCCGGTGGGGACAAGGACCTCACAGCAGCCCCTGCTGCCTCCACTCTCCTCCTCACTCCGGACTTCGGCTTGGCTGGAGCCAGGGACGGTCCTTGGCTGAGCCTCGGTCACTGCTCTGTGCCTTGGATTCTCCTGGGTGGCGGCACGGGATGCCTGTGCTCCCACCAGGGGTGGTCCTGTGCTCCAAAGGGCAGGGGGGCTGTGATGCTCCCCAGGCACTGGGTCCCTGTTGCTGCAGGGCAAGTGACACCTGTGTCACCGCAGGGACCGGGTCCTTCTGCACCCTCCAGCCTCCAGTGAGAGGAGAACTGGCCAGACTGGGGAGCAGGGGCTGGTGGTGGGCAAGAAACAGGGTCAGCACCAGTGAGCAGCTCTGTCCCCTCCCCAGAGCTGTCCCCTGGCCCGTGGTGGCTGGGGACAGAGGAAGAGGAGGCTGGAAGGAGCAGGAAGGGCAGCCAGCCACCGGTGGTGCGGATTTGGGGAGGGGATTTTGGGTGTTGGAGGCAGGTTCTGGGTGCTGAGGGCATCACTCACTCTGGGGACCACCTTCAGACCAAAGTGTGGGACACCAATGGGAGCCCAGGAGGTGTCGGCTGGAGTTTGGGGAATGCTCATGGGGCTGCTCCCAGGCTGGGAAACAACCCCTGTCCCGCAGGGAAATGCTATTATTATTATTATTTATTATTATTATTATTATTATTATTATTATCATCATCATCATCATCATCATCATCATCATCATCACTATCACTATCACAATCACTATCACCAATAATATTACTATTACTATTAATATCAATATTGTTAACATTACTATTCATTTTCTCCCAACAAACGGCTCTTTGTAGCTGCTCGGCCTCTCGGAACGGGGCACCTGGAGCCGCTGGGATCTCGAGGAGAGGGAAGAATCTGGCTCAGAGGTTTTAACTCTTCCCTGTGAGCGCAGGGGCTGCCAGGGGGGTCCCGGCGAGGGGACACGCCAGGACAGCCCCGGCGGCGCCCCAGGGCCACCCTCTGCCCCGGCCTCCCGGCGCTCACTTAATTACACGGCAAGGGAGGGGGGGTGTCAGCTAATTGCAGAGGGCGATTGATTGGGGAAATGTCATCTTCACCGGCCTCTGTTGCCAGGGTGACCTCGGCCGGTCTCGTTCCGGGCGCCCAGAGCCGCCCGCTGTGCGGCCGGCGGGGGGGACACAGCGCTCGGGGGTTGAAATCCCTTTCCTTCCTCCAACCCAGCCCGGAGCTCCCGAAACGGCGAGAGGCAGCGACAGCCGGGACAGGCGGGTTTGGGAATGGCCAGTGGCCCTTCCTGCGGTGCCCGGGCCACCTTCGCTTCGGGGTGACAGGAGGGGAGGGGACAGCGGCTGGTGAAGGCAGAGACACCGAAATTCCTGGTGGGTGCTGCTCCAGCCCTGCGGGATCTCCGCAGAAGCGACAGGCAGGGGATGGGCTCAGGGCCGGGGCACCCTGGTTCAGTGCCCAGGGCCGAGGGTGAATTGGGCTTTAAATCCCTTCCGACCCCGACCAGTCCCGGTTCCGTCACTGCCCAGCCCAGCCCGGCCCGGCTGTGGCCCCTGCCCAGACCCTCAAATGCAAACCTGCCCTGCCCGCAGTGCCCGGAGCTCTCCCCTGGGGCTGGACCCCCCTCAGCAGCCCCCGAGCCCTGCGGGACCAGGAACAGCAGCTCGGCTCAGCACCGGCCCCTGGGACAAAGCCTGGGGGAGGCTTCTCCCTCTTCTTCGGGAGCTGAGGTGCGACCTCAGGGTGGGATGTGCCCAAATCTGTCCCCACTGCGGGTCAGATGCTGCCGGTGTCACCCGAGTGCTGTTGTAAATCCATATTGTGACATTGGCTTTCGCAAGTATTAGGATGAGTATTTTATGTTAAATTCTTTTTGGCTATGGCTGTCCTTTTTCTCTTGCTAACAAGTTTTAGAAGAATTCCAAACGTTAGAGCGATGTCCCTGTGTAAAAAGCAAGATAACCCCAGAGGGCAAAGACAAACTGTTGTCATCGGGAGGACAGTGGAGCCCAGACTGTTACCAGCACTGACCACTTGCAGAGAAAAGTTCTAAAAAGGTGAAATCAAGGAGTGACCATGCAAAATACTTCTTGGAAAAGTTTGAATATGCATTAAACCCTCACAGCAGGATGGGATAAAAAGGGTGTCCCAAAGATATCGGGGGTGCAACGCGCCAGAGCACCCAGCTGTTTTAACCCTTTGCTTTATTTCCTTTGTCTCCTAATTGTCTTTTGGTTTATATTAAACTTTTTATAATTTATTAAGAGAGTGAACCTCGTTTTTCACAGCGGGAATATAGGGACACACAGGGGAACGTGGAGATACGTACGGGGACATGGGGACACGTGTGGGGACATGGGGAGATGTCGGGACATGGGGATATGTGTGGGAACAGGGGAACGGGGGGATGTGTGGGGACACATAAAGCGACACGGGGACATGTACGGGGACCCGGGTACACTCAGGAGAGCACAAAGACACACGTGGGGGACATGGGGACACGTGTGGGGGACACGGGGACACGTGTGGGGGACATGGGGACACACGTGGGGGACATGGGGACACGTGTGGGGGACACAGGGACACGTGTGGGGGACATGGGGACACAGGGACAGAGCAGGCACCGCTCCCGGCTGTGCAGTAAATGCTTTATGGGCTGTGGGGCTGGCGCTGGGTGATCGCCTCCGGGTCTCTGCGGTTAATTGCAGGCAGTAATTAACGTAATGACGGCGATCGCGGGACCACTGCGGGTGTGCAGGATGAGTGCGGGGTGGACACCAGGCTCTGGCCTCATTAGCTGCCGTCACTAACGAGGTGGCCTCTGTCCCCAGCTGGGCTCGCAGTCCCGGGGCTGGCACCGCCCGGAGCTGCCGCGGCTCCTTTGTGCCTTCGGCCTCCTCTTCCTCGCTGTCCCCTTCTCCCGCCTGCCTCGCTCCCCAAAGCTCGGCTCAAACCCCCCGAGCTGCCGCCACACCCCGAGGGGCTCTGGGGGTCCCCGGTGCTCCCCAGAAGCTGCCCAAATCTGCCCCGCACCCCCCTGTCCTGGGATC